CCACAGACCCCAAGGTCTGCAGGGGCAGGGCAGCTGGTGCTCCCACTCGGTTCCCAACAGCCAGCAGCCAGATCCAGACTGCCTGGCTACAAAGTAGTCCCATCACCCCTCTGCCAGGGTTGCTTTCAGGCTTGTCCTAAAAGAAGGAAGGACGGCAGGGGGGCGGGGGCTCTCCACCTGAACTCAGACTTCCAGTGTGTCTAGCACAGCACACGGGCCCTGCGTGCCTTGGGACGATGGGAAGCTCTTGCACCTTCTCTCATGCTGTTCTCTGCTTTAGAAATTACACTAACAAAGTCTATTCCAAAACCCATGCCTTGTGATGCTGTGGAATTCATCTGAGCCCGTGTATGGTAGGTGGCAATCACACAGGGACCCACCTTAACTCACCGTGCATGACAGAGGGGGTTAACAAGTTTAATCTCAGCTTTCTCTTCTCTTTGCCACACTTTCCTAGTCACCATACACTTTTCTTCTGTGGCCTCTTTCCCAGAGCAGACCACAATGCTAGGTCCACAATAGATAAAATCATAGAAAAGTTCTGAGTCAACATTTTGTTTTTGGTAGCCCTGACCTGACCCCTTTTCCGAACCATTTATGTGGGGTTTCCATAAAGCATCCTAGGGATGTTAACAGACAACATCATACCTGTTAGCGTGTCTGTGAGTAGTAGCATTCTGGAGGCTAAGTCGGGTCAATGGGGTGCAAGAACCTCAGAAGAGAAAGGAATGTTTTATTTACAAAGAGTTCACATGTCCAAAGTTCTACATGTTTCTCTTTCCACAGAAATGCCCTATAGCTTCTGGCCTGAAGCTCTGCAAGCCTACCTTGCTGAGGTTTCCCATAAGGGAGGGACAAGGAGGTATGCAACCTTCCAGTGCCCTTGAGGGAGACAGGGATCAGGAGAAAGAGCTCATAGTCCTGTCAGAATGGTTCTTTGTGTATCAAGGAAGAAATTCTGACCAAAAATGTGGGAAGTCCTGAGGGACGGTATGGCAGCATTTGTGATCTGCAGGTATGAATTCACCCTACAGACATCTGAGGAAGAAGTGTTATTTACATATATATTATCACTTGGGGTTAAGGTGTGTATGTGTGTTTATAATCCACCAGTCCCCTGGACTGTCGAGAATAATTCCACCTAGGAAGGCAGCATAATGTTAAAGGTCTAGGCTTAAGGCCCTGGATTCAAGGTCTGTCTATGCCATTCACTGTTTTTGTACCTTTGGATCCCCTTCACCCATTTTACCCACTCCCCACCTCTGGCAACCACCAATCTATTCTCTGTATCTATGAGTTTGGTTTTTTTTTTTAAGATTCTACATATAAGTGAGATCATATGGTATCTTTCTCTGTCTGATTTATTTCCCTTAACATAATGCCTTCAAGGTCCATCCACGTTGTTGCAAATAGCAAGATTTCCTTCTTTTTTTAAGGCTAATGTTCCATTGTGTGTGTGTATATATATATATATACCACAACTTCTTCATCCATTCGTCCCTTGATGGGCACTTAGGTGATTTCCCTGTCTTGCCTATTGTAAATAATGCTGCAATGAACATGGGGGTGCTGATATCTTTTTGCGTTAGTGTTTGTGTTTCCTTTGCATGTATTCCCAGAAGTGGAATTGCTGGATCATATGGTAGTTCTATTTTTAATTTTTTGAGGAACCTCCATACTGCTTTCCATAGTGGCTGCACCAGTTTCTATTCTAGTGCACAAGGGTTCCCTTTTCTCCACATCGTTGCCAGCATTTGTTATCGCTTGTCTTTTTGATAATAGCCATTCTAGTAGGTGTGAGGTGATAGCTCATGGTGGTCTGTGGTATTCTTTCTCTTGACACCTTTGGTAATGTATTTAAATTCTCTAAGCCTGTTTGTCTAGAAAAACAAACAAGCAAACAACTTCCTTTGTATGTTGTTGAGGAGGTGAAATAATGCAAGTAAAGGGCTGGCATGGTCCTGGCGTCAGAACTCACTAACATTAGCTCTTGAGATGGACTCCATACCAGAGTCTTGTTCATCTTCTAGGACTTGATGTTATACTCGCTTCTGCTTCTCTGTCATTTTGTTTCTAGGTTAGAGCAGTTACTTCTGTTAAACTCCCTGCAGAGTTGGAGGCCTGGCTTTGATAGAGCACCTGTCACTGTGGCTCAAAGTTTCTAGATGTGCTATGCTCAGCTGACATTTTCCTTTTTGTCTGTCCCCTTTTCCTTCTCTCCATCTCCCATCCTGTCCCCACACTCCACCAACTCTGGTCCCCTCCTCATTCCTGTTCAGTTTGGATCTGGCCCCATAAGTTTACAGACCTAGATAATTTGTGCCCATGGATTTTGATTGCCGAGTTTTATTTCCCTGTTGCTGACTTCCTATGAGCCCAGCCTATTCAGCTGACCTTCCGGCTTAGACCAAGCCCGCACCTCTGATGGGTCTTTAAGATTTTAGGTAATATCCTGGACACATAATGTCTACGTCCCTATCATGTACTTCTCCTGCCAGAGGTTAGAAAGTGAAGACATTGGGTGGTATTTGTCTAATTGAGTTGAGCGTGGACAATTCCTACTTATATCTGTCTGTTGGTCTTAGTCACCTAACATCTCACTTCCTCAAACTGTTCCAGTTTACCCTGTTGTCCTAAAGAGATTATTAACAACCTCCTCTTTCACTCTCAAAAGCGTCCTGGTTTGGGGGCTGGCTTGGTGGCGTAGTGGTTAAGGGCATGTGCTCCGCTTCGGCGGCCCAGGGTTCACAGGTTTGGATGCCGGGCGTACACTGACGCACCGCTTGTCAGGCCATGCTGTGGCGGCGTCCCATAGAAAGTAGAGGAAGATGGGCACGGATGTTAGCACAGGGCCAATCTTCCTCAGCAAAGAGAGGAGGATTGGCAATGGATGTTATCTCAGGGCTGATCTTCCTCACAAAAAAAAAAAGTGTCCTGGTTTGGAAGCTATATATTGTAAGGTCATCCTACCTTTTGAGATTGGTATATATTGAAGCTTTGTTTTTTAAAAAATTTTTATTTATTGTGTGTGTGTGTGTGTGTGTGTGTGTGTGTGTGTGTGCGTGTGCGTGTGCGTGTGTGTGTGTGTGTGTGTGTGTGTGTGTGAGGAAGATCAGCCCTGAGCTAACATCCATGCCAATCTTCCTCTCTTTGCTGAGGAAGACTGGCCCTGGGCTAACATCCGTGCCCATCTTCCTCCACTTTATATGGGACGCCGCCACAGCATGGCCTGACAAGTGGTGTGTCAGTGCGCGCCCGGGATCCAAACCCGGGCCACCAGCAGCAGAGTACACGCACCCAACCGCTACACCACAGGGCCTGCCGCCTATATTGAAGCTTCTTTTCAAATAGAAAAGATGGTGGGTTACCAGGCAAAAGATTTTTTTTCAGTACAATAAGAATTATGAGAAGGGATGTCAGAATTTTGAAGTCACAATTTCCAGAAATGGTGCTTTGAAGAATTTCCTTTCTGTACTGTGAACTGGAATGTGTTTTTTTGTTTTTTGTTTTGTGAGGAAGATCAGTCCTGAGTTAACATCCGTGCTAATCCTCCTCTTTTTGCTGAGGAAGACCGGCTCTGAGCTAACATCTATTGCCAATCCTCCTCCTTTTTTTTTCCCCAAAGCTCCAGTAGATAGTTGTATGTCACAGCTGCACATCCTTCCAGTTGCTGTATGTGGGACGCGGCCTCAGCATGGCCGGAGAAGCGGTGCGTCGGTGCATGCCCGGGATCCGAACCCGGGCCGCCAGTAGCGGAGCATGCGCACCCAACCGCTAAGCCACAGGGCCGGCCCTGGAATGTGTTTTTATCATAGCAAGTCATGTTTTGGAAAACTTTGAAGAGGCTTGCTACATCATTTACATTTTAAGTGGTCAATCCTTGTTCAATGGAATAAGTATAAGCAAGCTAAGAACACTCAAGGGAAAAACACACATGCACATATCACACATTTTTTATGCTTTTGAAACCTTCTCCTCTTCTTTTTCTCACCTCACCTCATGTTACTGGGTAGAAGGCATCTTCCACAAAGAAGTGTGAGAGAGAAATCTAATAATACTCTGAACTAGAAGGAGCTGGCAGAGTTTGTTCATCCTAAAATTGTGCAGCCGTGTTAAGATACAACAGAAAGAAATCACTCAAGGAGCTGGGGGAGAAAACTCCCAGCTTTGTTACCATCAACCATTGACCTGAACAGAAGAGACGCGAGCTGGTGTAAATGCCACATACTATCAAGCCATGTCAGTGACACAGGACCACAGTAGATAGAAAGAGACAATGCACACATGTGCCTGACAAAGTCTGTACTGTGTATGAAATAATGCCTTCATCTATAGCAGGTGCAGCTGCAGTGGAAGTTCAGGGCTCCCCAGACAGGCCATTTACCAGGTTCATAAGTTCTCACCTATTCTGGAGAGGAACATAAATTCTTGTTGTTCCCCATGGTACATATCATGCGTTAACCCACGCCTTCCCTTTCCCATTCTAAGAAATGGACAAGGAAACCACAGGCAGCTTAATGTTTCCTTGATCAGCTGTCTAGCAGTAGCCAAACTGGGCTTCATAGGAAGTCACAAAGAAAAAGCTGGATCTTATTCTTTCATTAAAGCACCACCAGGCCTCAAGATTAGTTAAATAAAAGAAGTCTCTCAGACATGACACACTCTGATTTACACCTGGTTACTCTGAATGATGGTACGATTTCTATTCAGCACCAGATCTTTGACATTCTACCCACTCACATATTTGCACATTCAGAAGCTGTATGAGCACAAAACTATTAAAATGAAATCCACTATACGTTACAGTAGAATGACATGTAATTTATTCATATAACCGACAGTTAGGCAGTACCGAAAATTCACTTAAATAAGCAAGTGATTACACAAATGTCTAATAATACTAAAATTGATAGTCAGAAGGTATAAAATACCATGGGTGTGAAATGCCATGGCAAATACTATTCAACAGACTACAATCATAATTCCAAACTAAATCATGGTTTTTAAAATGATCTTTAGCAGTTTTGGAATGATTTGATATTTTTCCCCCTTCCAAGCAATTTACTTCTACCGATACAAGACAAAGTCGTTATTTTCAAGAAATATTGCAGAATGACATAGGTTAGGTTTCTCTATTGTAACACATTTGCTTGCAAATTGTTTTTTAACATTGCCTCTTGTCACAGAAAACAAACCAGTCAGCACTCAGTTCCCCAAGCCTGGATGCTTGGATCAGAAGAGCAGGTGTGTAGAGCCAGGGTGTAACTCTGAGTTCAGCAAGAGACAGGCAGTGAAAAACCTTTTGTAACTTTTAAAGTATGCATACTTCTTGTCTAAGGCTCCAAGCATCACAAACGTACTTAAGGATCCAAGCCAGTGAAATTATGGAAATAAAATAATTTGATATCCAGATGACTAAGACAGAATTGCAACCGGGGGTAAGTTACAATATAATTCTGCGGTACTTCAAACAAAAACAGCACCTACCTAGATTTGCTTCTTGTAAGTCTCATTACATTTTCACGAAGTGCGGCTATGTTTGCAGGAATGGTTTGGCTTATCATGTGTCTGTCTGTCTGTATTATTTTAAAGTCATACTTTATTAGAACGAGGTCCAAGCATGAATCTGGCTTGAAAAGCTAGCAGCAGTAGTCAAGAAACATATCAATAAATTAAAAGGCTTTCACAGCAAAAGATTCAGCTAAATCTCTGACATACAAAATACAGCTGGAGAAATACAATTCTTCAATGTTGAATTATGAGGGGGAGGAAAACAATCTAAAAAAATAGAAAACTCTCTCCATACCTGGGTGTCAAGGCAAGATGTAACACTGCATAATGCCACAATATGACAGTCACTGGATGACAGATACTCCAGAAATAGTGGTATCTGGGGATCTGGTAATTATGACCAAGAGATGAAAATACTGTACCAAAAGGCATGCATACAATTACTGTGCATTCGGTGTGTGAGCTGGGACCTAAGCAGAGATCTAACATGACAATGAGGCAGTCTTCCGGGGTATCCACTAAAACCAGCGTGGGTGACTACATGTTGATTAAACCTTCCGAGGCAGCAAAGTGTGGGCACAGCGCCATGTCTGGGTTCTGCAGCTGTTTTATGATCCTCTTGCGGAATTTCTCCCGCACACGATTAAATTCCATTATGTCCATGGGGTCCTCTTCAATCCAAAATTTATGAAACTCGTGCATCAAATAGCCTGTTAGGGATCAGAAAGTGATAAGAACACTGGAGGAAAAAAAAAGTCCTTAATCACATTCAAAATCATCCTGAATCCTGAAAATGATGTGAGACCAAATAATAGCAAGCATGGAGCTCAAAGAAGAGATCAAAATACAGCAAATACTACTGTTAAAAATTATTCTTTAAAACCAGTGCAGTAGAAGCTACCAATCTGCAAGATTTTTTCAGTTGGTCCTAGAATTATTCTCTTTTCTCAAGCAGGAAGAAAAATCAGTTCTGCCGTCTCTTGAATACGAATTACATCTGGAACATATTCTGAAAGGCTGGCAGTGACTACTTCATCCTCCTCCTCCTAATTAAATTAACATAATGGTCTGATTTTTCAAAATTATTCCACTCAGCCTTTTTTTCCCCTTGATATTTGATTTGAGTAAAGTTTTAAATTACCCTGACAAATCAAACAAATGCATTCTGACAATCTATTATGAGACAATAAAAATTGTAAATCAACCCTGAAAAACACAGAATGGTCATTAAACTACATGAAATTGTTAATAAGACTTCCTTGCTCTGAAGCATAATTTCATATTCAAATACTTTTGTGTTTCAAAAATGTCATCTATAAATGATCCGGATTGGGAAAATTTTGGGAATAAATGTTAAATATCTGATATGAGAACCTGTCCATTGGTTTTTGTTTCCTCCACTGTGTCCCCTCCCTCCACCACATTTAGAATTGAAATGTGAATAGCTTTTTCAAAAGACAATAAAAGACAAAATAAATTGTATGTAGTAAACCAATTGCAAGTTCAAATGTCTCTATATATATTAGGGAAAAAGTATTTAAGGAAATAAACCTAGCTAAAAGAAAGAATACCAAACGTTACACTAGCTTTTCTTTGTTTTAACAGTAGAAGGCAACAGAAAACAGGAGTAAGGAGTCTGGAGCCAGAAACCTGGTTTGAATCCCACCCACATCCTTCACCTTCATGGGGAAGGAGTGAGCAGCAGAGATGACAGGAGGCGTGGGAAGAGAATTTTGGGACAAACATACTCAATCCTAATAGTAAGAAAAAATCAACAGCTTTTGTTTTTCTGGTAACTAGCTACTTATGGGGAAACTTGCAACATAGTTCCATAAACAGATTTTTAAAAATCTTTATTCATATCTCACTACAATACAAAATTAGAAGTGACCTTCCCTCCCACTCCCAACACACACTGCCAGAGGCTGGTCCACGTCCACAAACTCACCTCTGATTACTCATTTCATTACATTGTTAAGTATGCCTGTACGTCTTTAAGTATTTGGTCTCTCTACAAGTGCAGGAGGAAGGGTAGTAAGGAAAGAGAGAATTTATTTTACATTCTTTGGGGCGTTGACTCCATTCCATTTCTTTTAGGACTGGACTGTCTTTGGACCCTCCGCACACATATTAACTGATGTGACTGCTTTTAACATCCCTGACAGGGACAAACACCAACCCTCACCCAAATAGCCTCTGGGCTACAAAAGCCAGGGCCCACTACCACTGTCATGGGAATCTGACCACATCAGAGAAGCCCCAGATCAGAGGTATCATCGACCCCAGGAGCCATCCCATCCGTGTCTACTCTGTCCAATGCTTGGATTCCCCAAGGTGGCATCCAGACTTGAACTCTTCTGGTAAACAACACTGACATCAGCCTGTTCCCGGATGAAGAACCTGATTCTTAAAAGGTTCTTCATCACACTGAGCCCAAATCTGATTGCCCTATATTTCTTGGAACAAATTCAATTCTCCCCCAACTCAAATATTTGAAGTTCCCCTTATGCTCTGGGCGTCTCTCTTTTCTAGGCTAAGCATCCCTATTTCTCCTCACCATTTCTCACATGCCATGACTTGGAGCTGTTTATTATCCTTGTTGTTTCAGTGAACACTAACAGAAACTTGTTTCCTCTAATCTCAGTATCTTATTCAAGCAAAAGAATTCAATCACCCATCCATCTCAGTGACTGGGTAAACTCCTAAGGTATCCAAAGAATGGTAGAGGGAACTCGTTAAAAACACAGTCCCTCCCAGATTCAACCAGACATCGCAGTTTAGTAAGATGAATCTTACATCACTAAAGATCCAATGGTCTAGAAGATGCCCTTTATTTTTTTTTCCTTTTTTTTTTTTTTTGTGAGGAAGATCAGCCTTGAGCTAACATCCACGCCAATCCTCCTCTTTTTTTTGCTGAGGAGGACTGGCCCTGGGCTAACATCTGTGCCTATCTTCCTCCACTTTATATGGCACGCCACCACAGTGTGGCCTGACAAGCAGTGCATCGGTGGGCACCCGGGATCCGAACCGGGCCGCCAGCTGCAGAGCGCGCGCACTTAACCACTATGCCACGGGGCTGGCCCCGTTTTTTTCTTTGAAGGTGAGGAAGATTGGCCCAGAGCTAACATCTGTTGCCAATCCTCCTCTTTTTGCCTGAGGAAGATTGTCGCTGAGCTAACATCTGTGCCAATCTTTCTCTATTTTGTATGTGGGACACCGCCACAGGATGGCTTGATGAGTGGCATGTAACTCTGCACCCAGGATCCGAACCCACGAACCTCAGGCCGCTGAAGTGGATCGTGCGAACTTATCCACCACGCCACTGGGCTGGCCCCAAGATGCCCTCTTTTTAAGTTCCCTTGGATTCTTTCTAAATATTATAATTTTTATAGTTGTAAATGAAATCTATGATCATTTATAATTTCTTATTCCCCTGCTACATAAAATACACACATAATTTTCCTGACTTGGCCTCTGAGCTCAAATAAGCAACACCTGAGCTGTTTGTATATACAGTCAGGTTTCCAATTCTATGAATTAAAATCATCCATGATGAATTAAAAGCATCTCATTAGTATTTCATGAACAATAAAGTCTTTACTCCTATTGATGGTAATAAACAGGCACTATGAAAATATCATCTTTTAATGAAGAATTCACTTTTCCACAATGTACATAAAAATATTCACTCTTCTACAACGTGCAGGTATATTGGAAACTCGCTCTAAAGGTGATCTAGTGTAGCACAGAGTTTTAGAAGAATGCAGATCCATTAGGTTTCCCCATTTTTCTACCTCACATGCAATTACAGAAAAACATTTTGAAAGGTTTAAAAGACAGGCTAGGATAAGAGTAGAGGTAGGGGTGGCTCATAAGCTAAAACCATTCTCAGGATCCTTCCTCTTAAGGCTACAAAAGTCAAGCTATAAAGCTTGCAGACTGACTCCCTGGGACTCTCTTTCTTTATCCCATCAGGAAAATAATTAGAGACTGTATAACATGATTTTAATCAAAATGCAGAAATGGTGGCTTGGCTTCCAGGGTACATATTATAATCATAAAGCTCCACTCATTTATATACCATTACAGAGTGTTCAAAAATCCATTTGGTCAATTGGTCAGTTGGTCCATTTGCCAATTAACAATATTTAACAGATACAAGAGAAAGGTAGAGTTCCTACGCTCCCCAGTTCTTGGTCTCTCAGAGACAGGGACCCAGGTAGACAATTTCAGATGATGATTTGTTAGCTAAGGAAGCCAACAAAATGGCATGGAAAGTAGAGGGAGGAAACAGAGGCCAGGCTACTGCTTACAGTCTCTCATTTAATTCTTACAACAGCTTTGTGGAGTAGGTAACGCAGATATATCTTCATTTTAAAGATGAGGACAACGGGCTTAGAAAAGATACTTGAATGGTCTACAATTACACAGTCATAGCTCGAAGCTGGACGCCAGGACCTGAAATCAGCTGACTTTCCATCACACCAGCTGCTTGTTCCAGTGTATTCTCTTCCTCGGGTTCTTCCTACTGAATAGTTCCCTCTTTTGAAGGTCAAAGAAAAGATAATTCTTTTTCCTCTTCTGGCCATTGTACTTTCCTTCTGCTCACTACACCTAACCTTACTTCATTTCAATGGAGCTATATGTTCAGTGGAGCTTTAGATTGAATGCAATTTTTGTAGCATTCTGTCAAGTCAGAATGATAGAGCTATTATATGCTTATATTCTTTCACCTAGATTAAATACATGCTTTGAATACTAATTTGGCTTTCCAACCCAAGCCTGCAGCGTATTTATTGTTGCTTGAATGTGTCTTGGTTTTGCTTCACTGCATTCAGTTAGTAGACAGCAGAGACATATGCAAGGACACAGGTTATTGCAAGAATATTACAGAGAAGTGCAGAACTGATCATGTCCGATGGAGGAACATGAATTCAGGGCACAGTTTGCTTCCTCTAGAGAGGCCTGCATCCCTCTGCCTACACCCCAATCCATAGTGGGATTGTTGCTCTTTCTACAACCTGGTGTGGGTCTTGGGAAATAAGTAATCCTATTGCATGCCTACTCACCTAGGTTAAGTTTTTCCAGAGAAACTAAACTCCCTTTTCCACCACAAAGGACATCATCCAATATTTTAGCCTCCCATCCATTCATCCATCCATCCAGCTAGCCATCCAGCCATCCCTCCATCCAGCCAACAAATAGTTACTGAGCACCTACTCTGTATCAGGGTCTCTGCTGAGGTTACGGCAGTGGACAGAACAAACATTCTTGCCCTTAAATGTCAATTCCTGTGATTCTAACTTTGATTCTCTCCTGCAAGAGCTCCCCCACTGTGTGGCTCTGTTCTCTCCTCAATGCTGATGAATTCCAAATCTGACCTTACAACTCTTCAGAGCTCCAGAGCCTTACATTAGAGTGTCCACTATTCAGCTCTGTGTGGATTTCCCAAAAGGAACTCACGCCCTATACGCCTAAAACTAAACTCATTCTATTTTCCCTCTGAACTGCTTCCCTGGGTTCCCTAGGGAGCATCGTAAATATAGAATAGGGTAAGTAGAAGGGGGAGAAAACAGAGAAAAGGGTCTTATTTATCTACATGTTTATACTCTTGCAAACGGCTGACAAAGCTCTTCAAGATATGCACTCCCCCATCCCCATCCCTGCTCTTACTACTGTCATCTCTGGTCACGCACCCCATCCCTCCCCAAACCCTGTGCTCTGTTCCTTGAATCCACCATGCTCTTTGTCTTGTGGTCTTTGCCCGTGCCATTCCATCTGGCTGGACCACTCGGCCACCATTGCTTTATTTCCCCCTACTCATCCTTCAGGTCTCATGGAAAGTGGCATTTGCTTGGGGAAGCTTTCCCTGACTCCCCGACTGAGTGAGCTATGCCAGCTATAGGCCTTTTCAATTTTTAAAAACAGTATCTTTACTTCCTCAATCACAAAATTCTTCCCACCACCTTTTAATTATTTGTTTAGATGTCTGTCTTCTTCAGCACAGAATCTTATCTGTACTAAAACCTCAGTAATAGTTGTTGGAAATGATCAGAATTGTTACAAGAGTAAATATAATCATCTAGCTGTCGAAGTGGGAGCTGAAATCACATATGTAAGGGAATTCCACTTTCTGTTAACAAGTAATAAGGTGTATATGCTTTAAAGTTTGCTCTTTATTTTTATCTAAGTTATACATGAACATAGTTTAGAGTCAAATAGTTTAACAAGTCTTGTCACAAAAAACAAAAAAAACAGCAGCACCTCCTGCCCTAATTCCTGCTTCCCTAAAGCAACATTTCAACTCTTTCAGTTGATTCTTTTGGTTATTGACTTCCATAGCTCTAACATACTTTCCATTGCTTGGTTTTTTTGACTTTCCTTTACAGAAGATAAAGATTTAGCTCTCTTTTACCTATTCCAACCACATTATCACCCATTTTCTAAAAATTTTCCTTACCTAGTATTAGTAACTGCCCTCTTTGTTTATTTGTTTCGTTTCCACTTACTTAATTTAACCCTAAACTATCCCCTAAGTATGCCAGTGTCCTCTCAATGTGTTCAAACATGGTAGATATTCCATAAATTTCATATTCTTCAAAGAGTCCCTCCCAGAGCCTTCTGACCTGCTAAAATCTGGGTTTAATACTCTCAGCCTATTTCATAGATATCATCTTGGGCTTTCCCATCACCTTCATCTTGAAGATTCTCTTTAATTCTCTCCTTTTAGGATAGATTTCCTGTTTTCTGGACCCCATTTATTCCTTTAACATTACTATCTTATTTTGTGGAAACATATCCTTTGGGAGCTTCCAGATAAAGGTACAAGGAGGTAAAATATTTAAGACCTTGCACTTTAAAAAAATGTCTTTATTCTACACCTACACTTAATTGGAAGTTAGACTGGGTATAGAATTCTAAATTGGAAATAATATTCCCTTAGATTTTTAAAAACATTCTCTTAAATTTTAAAGACATTATTCCACTGTCTTCTAGAATACAATGTTGCTGTTGAGAAGTCCAATGTCATCTTGACTCCCAATTCTTTGTGTGGCAGCTTTGGAAGTTTGTAGAATCATCTCTTTTCAGTGTCATAAATTTTCACAATGATATGGACCTTGGTGTGAATCTATTTTAATCTATTATGGTGGTGCTTACTAGTTTAAATATGAAAAGTCATCCTTTAGTTCTGAACATTTTTCTTAATTTATTTCCTTGATTCCCTCCCCTTAGTTTCACTGTTCTTTTTCTGGGACTCCTATTATTCAGATACAAGACTTCCTAGAATGGTCCTTTAATCTCTCAACTTTTATTTTCTATTTTTCATTTAAACTTTCTTTTTGTCCTACTTTCTGGAGGACTTTTCAGCTTTATCTTATACTCCTTCTTGGAGATTTCTTTTCTGCTGATTTTTAATTTCTAAGAGCACACTTTTGTTCTCTCAGTGCTCTTTCTATAGCACCTTGTTCTTGTTTCATAGTTGCAATTTCTTATCTCTTTGGGGATATTAATGATACATATTTTTGAAGTTTTCTTTTCCCTGAGTAGTTTCTATTTCCTTCTAGTGGCTTTATTTCTGCTCAATTTGTACTTTCTTTCATGCTTGAGGCTTTCCTTGTTCTTGTTATCTAGTGCTTCTTAAGAAATTATTCTAAAATCCAGTGGCTCAAAACAATCATTTTAATATACTCATGAATTCAGAAACAGCATAGGAGGGATGGTTCCATAATGTCTGGAGTCTCAACTGGGAAAAGCTGAAGGTTGGGGGTGACTTGACAGCTGGTGGTAGGAATCATTTGGAGGCATCTTCACTCACATGTTTGGTGGTAGATGCTGGGTATTCATTGGGACCTCGTCTGGAGCTGTCAGTCAGATCACCTACATATGGCTGCTGCATGTTTCCTGGACTTCCTCACAACATGGAGGAATTGGATCGCTTACATGGTAGCTCACGCCTCCAAAGGCAGCTCAGTCCCAGAGAACCCAGATTCCCAGAGTCCCAGCTCAGCCCAGATTCAACAGGCCAGAGGGACAAATAAATCTTACCTCTTAGTGGGAGAAGTGTCAAAAAATTTGAGGACGTGTGTTTAACCATCACACTCAGACATCTGATAATCCTTAGTTGTTTGTGAATATTTTTGACTAAATAAAAAGCCAGTAGGACGAAAAGCTGATTGGAAGCGCTGAGCACATAGGTAGGGCTTGTTGACTGAGAGCATGACTATAGAGTGATGTGGCTGGGCTGTTTCACTGGGGAGCCCTAGAGGTCAGCATCTTTAGCTCTTTTCCCTTGGTCTGCTCAGATTCTCCAGAGAAGGCCCTGTCAATCTCTTGACTGGCTGCCAAAGTTATAGGAACTGGGTAGGAGAAGGAGCCTGGGTGTCTCAGTCTTCATCAACACTTTTGGTATGGGTTGCCACCAACTGTACCCCAGAGATCCTTTATTTTTCCCTCTCTGGAGAATAATCCACTAGCCTCTTCTGGGGAGGAGGAAGCACAGAAGCTGTCTCCTGGGGAAGGGGATTTGGGTCTCTAAGAGTTTCTTAACATACTTTCAAGCCACTTGGCTGTTTTTAGTCCTGCTCACCCCTATTTCCAGAGATACCTAATGCTGCTAATTCCCAAACCTTCTGGGTAGTCCTATAGAATAAATCAGGTTGCTTCTTACCTTTTCACACTACCTGTTTGGGATCTGCTCTCTCAGGACCACTAAAATCAGTTACCACCTAATTTGTTTCCCTGCTTTCAAAATGAGGTTTTTCTTGCCTTGTTTCTGATTTTTCCTGTCCTTGTGGATTTACGCTTTCTTAGAGTAACCTTTTATATTAACTTCAGTGAAGTTCACAAGGGAGCATAACGCATGCATTCTATAACCAGAAGTTCTGATTTATCAGATATAAAAGAAGACAAAACTCTAGATAATGTAATCATTATTAATTTAGGAGTTTAGATAAAATAAATTGCTGTTAACTTATGACTTTATCACATTTTAAAAATGAACTGGGGAACAGTACTCCCCTGTGGTGAATTTGGGGTGAAACAACTGTGTCTTAACCATACTCAGAAAAAGTGGCAGAACTGTTTAGCAAATTAATAGCAGAAAAAAGTGGAAAGAAGCATAATGAGAAGGAAAATTTTGAAATTTTCTTGCTAAGAAAGCCTAGGTATAAGTGCAGTAAGCACAGTTTAAGTGACATTTTTCCTTTAAATTGCCTACGTTGCTTGACAACTTGGTAGACTAGCTTTCCATGTTCCTCCAAACCAGTTTACGTCCGGCCTGCAAGGACATAATGACATACAGCTAGACTTTAGGATTCTGCCTCTAAGAATAGCAGAGAATAGCATCCCAGGGCTCTACAATACCATCTCAGTCTTTATCTTCTGAAACCCGAAGCCCCAAAGGATACCCCTCAGGCAAGGACAATATAAGGCTCTGGTTCAGGGTCACCAATACCTCCCTCTACTAGCATCTACTCTTAGAGGGTAGCAGTAGTAGCGTTAGTAGCAAAAGTAATACCAGTGACAACTCCACCACCATCAATACCATCCAGTAAACCAACACCTCCTCTTTCTAATGTTCACTGAGCACTAACTATGGGGCTGGCTTATAAAAACTTTTTATCCATCATCTCATTTTATCTTCATAGCAGCTCTATAAGGAAAGGACTAATTTTATAGATAAGATAACTGACACAGAGAGAGGTTAGTAAACAGAGTTGGGAGTCACCTCAGGCTGTCTTCAGAGCCTGCACTCTTGAGTGCTATGCCATGCTAGATCAAAGGGAGAGGGACACCCATGAAGTCTTTAAGTCAGACCGGAAGTTGACACATTGGCTATTATGCAAGGGCTGGGAAAGAGAAAAATTCACAATGCCTGAAAAGATAAGTGTAGGTTTTTGAATGAGAAAAACAACAAAAAATCAAAACCAAAGAAGGAAGTTCAAAGGCCCCAAAGCAGGCAAATCACAAGGATCTCTCAGCTTCGACCCTAGTCTAGAGTGTTCTATAGAAACTTACATTGACAATTAAGCAAGAGGACACTTACAGAATGTTTGTTGGAAGTGAGACAATGTTGGAGCTTCTGGGGCGATGTTGTAGAAATGAGTTTTTAGAGCTCCACTCACCAGTAGATTATACGCCAGATCAGTTATATTGATGCCCACAATCGCAAATGAGTACCTGTAAAGTGTAAACCACAAAACCAACTGAGTGTCACATATGGGAAATAAGCATTTAAAAATACAATAATCTGATTTTTAAATGACTATTAAATTATTAGAATGGCAGGTTGCCCTTCCCTCTCTACCTTACCAAACCCCAAATTTTGTAATATACCAGAAAATTTCAATGATACGTTCCAGAGAATTGAGAGTTCATTCGCTTTGACTTGGTAATTCCCTTTCCAAACATATAAGAGAAAAAAATCAGAAATTGACAAAGCTTTATATGCAAGGATATTCATTATAGCATTATTTATAATGGCAAAGACATGGAAACTATTCAAATATTCTACAAAAGATGATGAGTGAAATAAATTATGGTAATCTCGTATAACATATTATAGCCCATAAAAACTATATTGCTAAAGACTATTTAAGCAGGATATAAAACATTATGTATAGAACAAGCCAAGTTTTATTATATACACACAAATGTGCCCAAAAAAAGGGCTAGAATGAAAGACTACAAAATACTAATATTTGTATGTTAGAGTAATAAGATTGAGGTGACTTTTTTGTTTACTTTCCTATATTTTCTAAATTTTCTATGATAAATCATATATTACTTTTAAGATGAGGAAAAATTTAAATAAGTATCAACACTGTGGGTACATTTTCTAGTCCGTTTTCTATATGTGCATCAAAAATGAAATGGAACTGAGTTCTTAAGTCCTCTCTGGTAACATAAATCCGGCATATTAAAAAAAAACTTCTCTGTTCAGAAATATTTTTGGATGAAATAGGGCACTATAAAAAAAACTTCTAAAGTAAATTTTTATCTAATAGCCAGATACTTGAGGGAAATCCTTGAAAGAAAATTACTAAATACACTTCTAAAGGATGATTTCTGAAAATCATTTCCATATAGTCATTATTTTCTAAACTTTGTTCATTGGTCACAGGCAAGGTAGTATCATATAATCATACAGATAAATCCAAAAACATATAAAAAAATAGTTTTAAAAATTCAATTGGGGGGGCCGGCCCGGGGGCGTAGCGGTTAAGTGTCCGTGCTCCACTTCGATGGCCCGGGGTTCACAGGTTCGGATCCCAGGCGCGGACATACGCACCGCTTATCAAGCCATGCTGTGGCAGGCGTCCCACATATAAAGTAGAGGAAGATGGGCACGGATGTTAACCCAGGGCCAATATTCCTCAGCAAAAAGAGGAGGATTGGCAACGGCTGTTAGCTCAGGGCTAATCTTCCTAACCAAAAAAAAAGAAAAAAAATCAGCTGGATTATATATTTCCATTAGGACAAGTGGATCTTCATCCTTGTCATCTTTCACAGTGCTCTGATGACATTTTTGCTCTGTTTCTGGTTCAGACTGACAGCCTTCATGTATGAAATCCCTCACTCACCCAATTGCTTTATCCATCCTTTTCTTCTCCCATTCTGCTTTGCTGAATTTGCTGAATGAATGAATGAATAAATAAGTAAACAAATAAGATTTAATCGCTAATTGGTACTTGTTCTCTTTTAATGTTTATGTTAAAACAGTTGATTGGATGCAGAGATCTGTAACTTTGTTATCAAAACTAAGCAATTTAAATGTTATCAATGAAAAAGCTACAATACAATTTATATGGGGCTCAGAAATGAAATTATTTAAAGCCATGCTCCTTATCCTCTATTCACTTTAGTACAGTAGTGGGAGACAGCCCTAAAGGCCAACATTAAAATACTCTTTTACACTATCATTAATTATCAAACACAACACTTCCTCCATGAAACCTTGCCTGGAATCTCCTCTACCTCGATGCTACCTCACTTTCTCATGATTCCCCATTGCATTTCATTTGGTTTATCTCATGGTATTTATCCTACTCAGCCCTATTTGTGATGTCTGGCACACAGTAGATGCCAAATAAATGTTTATTGATAAAAATAACTGAGTTAGTGAAAGTCAGAAAGAAAGGGAGGAAGGAAGAAAGGGAAGGAGGATATATAGGTTTGAAAAATTCTGTTCTATGAACGACTATGGCATTTCCTCTGGCTAAGCTAAGACAGCTAAACCATAGCAGTTTCATTTTAATCCATTTTATAATTTGAGCTTCTGAATAAGCCTGTTTGAAGAAAACATTCTATCATAGAAGCAATCTGAAAATAATGCCTTGCATTCTATTACTTTGTGTACTTGCTTATCCCCCACATTCTCGCCCCCTCCATACTGCTAGCACCTTGTAGGCAGGAACCATACTCCACTCCTCTGTGTGGCTAATGTAACTTTCATTCAGTGTTTTACACTAAAAAATGTGGTTAGCATTTGAACTAAATAAAATTTTAAACTTAGAGTTGTTATGAACATTTAGCTTCCATCTGAGTAAGAGAAAGAGGAGTTCTCTATAACACACCGCAAACATTACATTAAAAGACACACGTGTAACACACACAGCATAAGACCACAAAAACATGATGCAAAACTGGTATTTAACTAGATGTACTTTTACTCTGTAAATGACTGGCTATGAATCAAAGTAACCACCTTTAGTTCATGTTAAAATATGCCACCTCTTTTTAAAGTGTAACTGCCAACTAATCAACCCACCAGCCAAAGAGGCATCAGGAGATTTTTACCTTAAAATATTCATATCCAAACTAAAATGAGTTAGATGTGAAATTTAAGAAACTTTATGGAAATGAATTTATAAGCACCTATTTTCTCTTCAACAAAGCTTCATAAATACATGGTGTCTCTGTATTTGTTAAATTAAATCTCTATTTACATTGGAAATATAAGAAAAGGCCAAATGAGCTCCACTCATTTGATTACTTATAGGATATCCTGGCCCAAACACAATGACTCCCTCTCTGTAGGAAACACACACACACACACACACACACACACACACGCACACATACAGACACACATACATACAAAACAAACAAACAAATTCTCCTCTTAAACTTCAATCTACTTTTATCCCTCAAGTTACTTCAGGACTCAAGAGATGGATGTTCACAAGAGCAATCACGTATAATGCTTGCTGAAAGATAGGCAGAAAAGAACTTTCCTTAGTACACACTGGCTTCTTCCTGTTGAACACCTGAAATATTCTGGGCCTGTCAGAAACTATGTTGATAGCGCAATCGGTCAATATATACTTCTTTCAGACATTGGTGAAGGACAGTAGCATTTTCAAAACATTCTGATTTTTTTTTTTTTTTTAAAGATTTTATTTATTTATTTTTCCCCCAAAGCCCCAGTAGACAGCTGTATGTCGTAGTTGCACATCCATTCCAGTTGCTGCATGTGGGACGCGGCCTCAGCATGGCCGGAGAAGCGGTGCATCGGTGCTGGCCCGGGATCCGAACCCGGGCGCCAGCAGCGGAGCGCGCGCACTTAACCGCCAAGCCACGGGGCCGGCCCAAAACATTCTGATTTGTATTCAGTGACATTTATCATTAATTTGAGGTGATTAATACTTGAACTTCATCTAGTCAATTTTACTGTAGCTTGAGGGACAAAGCATGGTAGTTTAATCTACATGTCTACACACACACACACACACGCACACACACAAATGTTAGTCTCTTCTTAAATAAGAGTAATCACACAAACCCTCAAATACCTCCTCTCTGATAGCTGACACAGGAGATAAAACTATAAAGCCTTTCTTTGAGAACGGCTCATAGACAAAATTAATCTCCCTCCAACGGTTAATCAAAAAATATTTTAAGTTTATTGTTACTTCTTGAGGACCATGGAAGATTCATGTCTTCTGGCTGATGCTCCTCAAGGAAATGCCACCTGACAGTGCACACAGACTCCCTAGCCAATTTTAATTAGAGGGAGTTCAGAGTCTCTACGTTACAGAAATATGCAATTCAGAAAATGTAGTTAAAAAATTAAATAAAATAAATTAAAAAAGTTAAAATTGATTTTAACTATGTAATATATCAAGAAAGAGCTGTTTTTTCTCATAGTGTTTTTCTCAAAGTAAATAAAAAGTAAAGAAAACAAAAATTTAATCTTATAAAAGATTACAAACACAAATTTGGGAAGTATGGTATAATTTAATGAACCTTAGCCAATAGAAGCTAGAATAAGTAAAATAGTGAGGTGGGAGAGGGTCAACCTGTTTCTAAATTTTGATAATGGTATGATAAAATTTTGGACTTATTTAGCAAACATGAACACTAACAAGGAACTTGCCATGCTGAGGAGAAAAAAGTGATACAAAACCATGATTGCAAATAGCAGAACTCCTTATAATAAGAGTACAGCATATATATATATATAATAACTACTACTTATAATGATGAAGTTAGAAATATATTAATAAAAGAGCAAATTTGCTCTATGCCACAAAATTCCCAAATAAACTGTCCCTCTCTGGGAAGTAGATGGGGTCAGAGCATGTGTGGTGATGGGTTCAGCCTTTAGGTGAAGTGTTCAAAATGTGTCTCCAACCAGTATAGTTATGGCTGTAGAAAGGCTCTTTGACATTTTCTATCAGGTTGGTATAATCTGATTTTTCTTTCACTAAAACACAGCCCAAATATAATAAACTATATTAGATAAAAAGTTTGGAAATGTTTGATTTTTGAAATTTTTTCATGAATTTATATTTCTTTAAAAAATTCTGACTCATACTTATTCTAAAATAAAATAAAAGCAACAAAACACAAAGGCAAAGAAAAGAATACCTTATTTCCTCTTTAGTGATATCCCTTCATGTAATCAGTTAAAGAAAAAAAAATTAGAAAGGTAAATGAAAATGCAAATAATTTGGAACCTAGAATTTCACACACAAAAAAAAGGCCTCAGCAATTCCAGACTTTCTCAGTTGGCCCCTGACATCAAGACTTCCATTCTCCCCTCTATTCCCCCATCATGCTCCCTTGTCTCTGAACTCTTTCTCCCAGACTCTGTTTCCTCTTTCTTCCATGCCTACCTCCTCAATCTTCCTGGACCCCAGTGACGCTATCAGTTCTTTTAAATGCCTATGTCACTTGAATGGTGCCACTTCACATCCTAAATCCCGATATAAGTACCTGAAGTTTTCACCTTCCTATTCAGCATTTGTCAAAAGGGCTTGTGTGAAAGAGCTTTAAGTCTCACTTCTGGTGGATTGACTCTCCTGAGAATCTCATCAATACATCCAGTAGGAGATGAAGTTAATTCTACCTTATCCATAAAACCTAATCCATATTGTATTTTCAACAATTACCTGCATTTTTGATGAAGAGAGTCAGAGAGGACCTGCTGAGCTGCTGCAGCATCCCTTTCGGCAAAATACCTGCAGTTGGAGGGAAAGAAAACCGTAACTCCATACGTGTTGAATACATTCATTTTAATCCTATTTCAGGCCATTTTGCATTCAGAGATGGATACCAGCATAAGATTATCACTTGTTTCAGCATCTACAGAGAACGAACAGCTTTTCATAACAGAATTTTCCAAATATATTGAAAGAATAATAGAGTAGTTGTAAAACTCACACTGACTTAGGAATGATTCCAGTAGATTTGAAATTTAATTATGAACTTTACCATTCCCAGAAAGGTAAGAATATTCTTATTAAGAAGGGATATAAGTGAGACAGAGAAAGACAAACACTGTACGATTTCACTCATATGTGGAAGATAAACAAACACATGGATAAGGAGAACAGATTAGTGGTTACCAGAGGGGAAGGTGGTGGGGGGAGAGTGAAAGGGGTAAAGGGGTGCATACGTATGGTGACGGACAAAAACTAGAGTATTGGTGGTGAACATGATGCAGTTTATACAGAAACTGAAATATAATAATGTACACCTGAAATTTACACATTGTAATAAGCCAATATGACCTCAATAAAATAAAATAAAAAAAAGAAGGGATATTGATGAGGGGGCAGGATGAGGCCCCTCAGAAGGCAGAAGAAGCCTGGATGAGGGGACATGTTGAGGGGCTGTGACAGCCAAAGGGCAGAGAGAGGAAGAGACTAGAGGATGGGAGAGAAGGTGCATTTCAAATGCATTTTTCTTGGAGCCAGCCCTGATGGCCTAGTGGTTGGAGTTCGGTGTGCTCTAATTCAGCAGCCCAGATTTGGTTCCTGGGCATGGAGCCATGCCACTCGTCTGTCAGTGGCCATGCTGTGGCGGTGGCTCACATAGAAGAACTAGAAGAATTTACAACTATATACAACCATGTACTGGGGCTTTGTGGGGGGAAAAAGGAAGGAAAAAAAGAAGGAAGATTGGTAACAGATGTTAGCTTAGGGCGTATCTTTCCCTGCAAAAAAAAAAAAAGATGCATTTTTCTTGGAGGATATACACGGGGTATTTGAATTTTGGATGAACAGAAAATATCGTGTAGAGCTTAGAGATGGTAAAAATAAATTTCTGTTCTAGGGAGAAAGGGGCAATGAAATTTCCTAACAAATACAAAAAGCTTACATACTCTCAAAAATACATTATAAAAAGTGCTTCATAAAGACAATTACAAAGTAAAACTATAGGATATATTAGTTTGATGTATATACATTTCTTGCATAAATCTAAAGCATAAAACAGGGTCTTGAATTTTCTCTCAGAAAATTTCAAACCAAAGCCAGGAATTTGAATACACATCTACGATTATTAATGAAATTAGTCTCTTTTCATACTTCTGTTGGTCATCTAGGTTTCCTCTTTTATATCTTGTCTGTTCATACTTCTTGATCCAGTATATCTAAAAATGTCTCAAATAAATGAGATAAATAACCATATAGAGAATAATATACTGGATATGGATCCTTTATCATTTATATGAGTGTCAGTCTTGGTTTGTCTTTTCACTGTGTTTATGGCGGCTTATCTTACAGAAGTTTTCACTTTTAACGTGTGAAATGTATTGATTTTTCTATTTATGCTTTTTTTGTCTGTGTCTTTAAGAGATTGCTCCTTATTCACATATCTGAAAGATTTTCTCCTAAAAGTTGTAAAGACTTGTTTTTGACATTCAATTTGTGAATTGAGATGAGGTACAGATTTAATTTTATTTTTTTCTAAATGGAAGGCCAATTGTCCCAGTTCTACTTATTCAAAAGCTCACCCTTTACCCACTTATTTGTAACACGATCTCTGTCATCAAAATTTATTTTTAATTCATTCGCATTACATAATAATGTGGCATTTAAAACACTTCATAAAAGAATGGGTGATTAAACTTCCTAAATTTAAAACAAAGGAAAAGATCTAGGGAAAAAATGGGGTGCCATCAAAAATGCCTGTTTCTTTTAAAATTTCTTTTAAAAAGATTTCACTATCGTCACTAATAGGATGATGTCAAAGGACACAGGAACCAACTTAAAAGGTCTCCCTTTGGCTTGAAAAATAATGATTACATGTGATTCAACTTAAGTGTGGAAAAATAAGAAGCACAATTAGTTGAATCACAATAAACATGTAAAAACCACTAGTTAAAAATGATATTTAAAAAATAAAGAGATGAAAAAAAAATTTTTTTTGGTCACTAACAAGGGAACTAGGGCACCAACTCCTCACTCTGAAAACTGGCAACTAAATAGAAAAATTGAGCATCTGTCCTGCCTATGTTTTAGAGAAACCAAATTACCATAGTTGATGAAAGAAAATGAGACTCGACAGAATTCCAGCCAACAACTGTGGGAAAAATAACAGAATCAGAAAAGCACTTTTTGCACAATTAATTAATTGGTTCAGTGAAGATCATAGAAGGATGAAATGATTAGATAAAAGGCTGATGGTAGATTTGACAATGGACTTTACAGGCTGTGGTTCCTCTGACCCATCTCAGCATAGGACTGGGAGTGGCGACACTGCAGGCCTCCCCCTGTGATGTCATCCTGAACCAATTCAAGCCTTTCCAAATAACTCTAGTTTTTAGGACATACAGGGAATGGGTACAAATGCAGACAAAAAATCCAGACCATGGGACATTTTGGTGGACAGCTGACCTGGAATCTTGCACAAGTTAATGACATTGGGGAGGGGGCAAAAGGAGAGGGCAGAGCGAGAGACACATAGTAACTAAGTGCAATGTATAGATCTTGTGTGGAACTGGATTAGAACAAAAAAGCTATAAAAAGACATTTTTGAGGAGAACTGGGAAATTTTAATATAGACTGGATATAGATGACACCAAGGAATCATTGTTAATTTTGTCAGTTGTGATAATGGCATTGTGGTTAATGTAAGGCGATATTGATTTTTTTCGGAGCTGCATATTGAAATGTGAAGCTGAAATGACAAATAGTATAGGATTTTCATTAACACAGTTCTGCCAAAAAACCAAGCATTGCAGGTACTTCAAAACCTCAATAATTACCGACTCTGGGTGACCAGTGTAAGGAGGGTTCTTTATAACCTCGCATCTTTTTTTTTGTATAACTTGAAATTTTTCATAATAAAAAATGAGAAATAAAAACATTTGTGATTTGCTTAAAAAAATCATGAAGTTTGCCAAAGAAAAGAAAGACGGTAGTAGCTTTTTAAATTTTACGAACCTGAGTTCTCTCTCAGAGGACTTGAGTGTTTTCTTGGAGTCTTCTGGGAAGTGGTTTTTTGAACTAACAACTCAACTTTGCCATTTCCATATGAGGAGAGCAGAATATCACTTTAATACTCAACCATTCTTCATTTTACTTACTGCAAATTGTACAGTCCCAGAAGTCCCATTCCTCGAAAATCTGTTTTAGGATCATCACCTTGGAAACCAATTTCACACCATTGCTTGGAAATCCGCGATTCCAATGGAGTGTCGGGCTTCAAGAATTTCCATAACTGGAGATAAGAAAGAAAATTAGCCTGTTGATATAAACACAAAAATAGTCTTCCCTATTGGCTCAGATTTTGTAAACCACATTATTAGGAGGAGGTTTGCAAAGCTGAATATAGGTAAATACATTACAATTAAAGATTTGATCATCTTTCAATTATCTAAGACAGCAGTTCTCAAAGTGTGGTCTAAAGACTCCTTGGAAGGACCCCAAGACCTTTTCTGAGGGTCTGGGAGGTAAAAACTATTTCACAACAAAATTAAGAGGTTATTTGCCTTTTCACTCTCATCTTCTCATTGAGTATATAGTAGAATTTTCTAGAGGCTGCATGACACGTGATGATGTCATCACTCTGAAGGCAATGGACTGTGTACTTGTATATTTTAGTGTTTTACATCTTTCTGTTTTAATTTCTAATGATAAATATATATTATATATATTAAAAAATATATATTATCTCCCAAAAAAACTCTTTGGAATTCTCAAAAATATTTAAGAGAATAGTTTTAAGAGAAAGTTTTGAGGCCATGTGTTATTCAAATTCCTAGAAAATGCTTTTCTAACTTTATAGCAAAACTTTTAGCAACATTGTTAACAAAAAGAAGAGTAGACTGACTTAAGTTTCATTTCTCACCTATAACAGGGATGAGAGCAATAATGTTCATGAATAAACCTCAAAATATATTATCATCTTTAAGAGTTACCTAAAAAATGTTTAATTACAATCAATTATATATATATATATATTTTTTTAATTTTATTTATTTATTTATTTTTCCCCCAAAGCCCCAGTAGGTAGTTGTATGTCGTAGTTGCACATCCTTCTAGTTGCTGTATGTGGGACGCGGCCTCAGCATGGTCAGAGAAGCAGTGTGTCGGTGCGCGCCCGGGATCCGAATTAACAAATATAAATTCCAAACACTATGCTCTTCATAGAGTGTTAGAATAGAATCAGTTAAGAAACTGATTCTATTTTTCTAAGTTTTCTATAGAAAGATAGATTCGGCACATATCATTACTTGAGAGAGAGAAAGGTTGAGACACACAGTTGTATAAATATGTAATGCTCAAACTACTCTTTCTAATAAACAGAGATGAGCAGGTAAGCAAATTTACTTTTTAGACTATTAATAATATTTTATATTATATCTTCATTATAGGCAGAGACAAATATAAATGTAAAATGTCCTTATTACTATTTCAGACATTATTCAAATTTTAAATTGCTAATTCTATGTTATATGGATTTTAAAGCTTAAACAGAACAGTAACACACCAACATCTTGCTTTATAGCGAATTGTCACATTTCTGACATACTATAAAACAATGTTCAATGACAGGAAATACTAACAAAAAAAGAGTTGTAATTCATCAAAGTTATTTCAGGCACTAATCCAACATTACCTATTATTCAAATGATACAATATTTTATGTTAGTGGCACAACAGGTAAATTCAATGTAAAGGGTGAGAAAAATTCAGAGGAAAAAAAGTAAATCTATCATGCTTGAAAACAAAATATCAAACATGGGTATAAGAAATCTCTTTTTTATATTATCTATAAAAGAATTTGCCAGTGCTCTCCATTCATCAAACCAGAAAATGTTTCTGAGTTCATCAGAAGAGTACTAAAAAATGAAAAAAAAAGGTCTTTAAAAAAAAATCCTTTAGGAACTGTTTTGGTAACTGCCACGATGAAAAAAAGAAACAAAAACAAAAGGAAACAGATTGTAAAGCTCATTACATTCATTTGAATAATAATTTGAAGTAATCTCAGGATCCCACATAATTTAAAAATATCTGGTTTCATGAAGTGAGAGGAGTAAAATGGCAAAAGCAAGCATTTTATTTCTACAGGTTAAGTTACAAACCTCATTCATTAGGGGAATACTTAGTTTGGGAAATAAAAAGTTTGAATAATAAAATGCTCTAAAATGAAACTCCATTTTAATAATTTCATGTATCATGACAGACGAGACTAATGGCTAAAAAGTGTTCTTAAGTTCTTAACCCTATCTGCTCTAATAAAGGTCACTTTCTTGGAAAATGAAAGTTGATTATGCTAAACACTTATACGAAGTACTACCATATGTATATTTCTTGTAAGAATGCTTGAGCTACTGGATTCTCTTCTGATAGCCAGGCTTTCTCCTGAAAAGAAAGAAGAGCGGGGGAGGCAGGGTGCCCCTGAAGGATGAGGTCGTTTCTTGCACGTAGGCAGCCGACTAGAAATCTGAACTAAGGTAGTGGGCCTCTGCTGGGGGACTCTGAGGAGTCCAGCCACCTAAGACTGCTACTGGGAGTAGAGTTATTACAAAGCGACCTGCCAAGTGCAGGAGACCAGAGCTAGGAAGGGTGATCCCGTGGTAGATGACAAGCTACAAGCGTGGAAGCTGTACGCTGTGTCAGACTATCACCCATCATGGCCCGTGCTCTCTGTTTAATTCTCTTCTCTTTGCACTCACTCCTTACCACAAGCCTATCTGAACACTTCTGCGTATCTCAGATCCGTTGCAGAAGAGAAAGGGCAAGGCCATTCCTCCATCCATTCACTCAAGGAGAAACAGCTTCTCACTGGGGCCACCATTACACTGTCTCTTCCCATCAGGAGAAGATCTTTGAATTCTGGGTTATATTTTTTCTATTAAGTGCATGAATCCACCTAAAATTTTGCCTTTATTATTAATTTGGTTAGAAATGTTTAACAGAAATGTTCATTTGAATAACTCACATGGACAGTGCTACATGAATATAAAGTGATGTTATTCAGTTTCATCCCAGTCTATGTTTAAACGAGCATAAAATCCAGCTTTTTTTTATGCTTTAAGACTTTAAGTAGAAACACTGATGACGGTCTCCTATGTTTATAAATCAAAGCACTTAACAAAGCACTTAACTCCAAGTCTCTAAACCGGGAGTCAGCAAACTTTGTAAAGGGCTAGATAGTACATATTTTAGGCTTTGGTGACCATATGGTCATTGGTGCAACTACTCAATTTTGCCATCATAGTACAAAAGCAGCCATAAACAATAAAGAAATGAACGAATGGACGTGTTCCAACAAAACTTTGCTTACAAAAATGGGTGGCTGGCCAGATTTGGCCCACAGGTTTTAGTTTGCTGACCCTTGCTCTAAACAATATTATGAAGTCGGTGGTAACAAGGGTATTATTACCCATTTTAAAGATGAAGAAGCCTGCGCTCAGGCAGTTAAACACAAACCACAGGCCAGCCTCTGGAAATACAAGTGTGAACAGACGTGGTTTCTCCCTCGAGCGGTAGCGCAGGGCATCAGGGTAGAGCCATTTCTAACCATGTGAGCTTGGGCAGTCACTTAACTGCCCAGCCCCAGTTTCCTCATCTGAAAAATGGGGATAATGCCAATGTCTCACCACAAGGTTATTGTGATAATAATGAAATAATGCTATAAAACACTTACTGTGATGGTTGGCATATATTAAACACTCAATGAATGTTTCATTATTACTGATTTTATTATTTTCATACTTGGATTTTGAATAAACTGAAGAGGAGAATGAAGATCCCTCTCCTAAGTTTGCTTGGGGAGGCTAGAGAAGATTTCAAAATTCAATGAATAAGGATTTAAAATGAGCCAGCTTCTGCTGTGAGAACAATGGGTAACAGAGGGAACAGCAGGAGCACACACCTGGGCATAAGGAATGGGACGGCCTAATCTGGGTCAGGATGAATGAGAGCATGGCGGAAATGTGCTGTATGTAATGGCAGTCTAGGAGATAGAGCCTAAAGAAATAAATTGGAAAGGGTCCAAAATGCACACTAAGCTGGATGGGCTTTCTACTATCAGACACAGGGAACCTGAAGTTTTCAACCTAGAGAATAACATGACTAGATTACCCCTCCAGCAGTACTTGAGAAGATGGAAGGGAGGAAGCTAATGGTTAGTGGCAGAATTAAAAGGCTATTTTAATAGCTCAAGTCGGAGATGATGGTTAGAATAAGGCAGTGGGCACGGAAAACATGCGAGAGGTATTTTGGGGGAGCTCTATGGCTAAGATTTAGTGATTTTTGTAGATGCAGAATATCTCCCCATCAGATTGCAAGCAATTTGCGAGTAGAAAAGATGCCTTTCCTCACAGTGTCTAATGCAGTAGTGGACAGTCCTGGCTTTACCATTTACTAGCTGTGTGAATCAGAGCCTGGACTAAAATGCTTGTAGTTTGCTCACCTCTAAAGTAAAGATAACAACCATCACCTTGACTATGTCTTATGAGCTGTGACAATAAAAAATGATAGAACATACGTACTCAAATCATGCCCACAGATAAAAGTCATGTCATAAAAGTTCTCGACATCTAGTGAACGACAATAATTCATGCATTCACCCATGTTTGTTGAAAACCTTCTGCGTGCCAGCACACATACAACAGATCAGCTACGATGTGCATAGCAGGTACCCAAATGTCATTGAGTCAGAGGGTATCCCAGCCGTTCTAATGAACTGTTCAGGCCCTTGTGGCCAGTCTGTTCATTCTACTGCCTGTTTTCTCTTTCATTCACCTATTTCCCACCTTGAGGTCATTTCACTGAGTTTGATTACCTCTATCAGAAAACAGAACAAATAAGGCAAGAAAAGGAGATGAAGCTCTGCCAGTAGGTTAGCTAAAATTAAGCAGAGGAGAAAGGGAAGAAGAAAAACTATTGCTATGGATGAGGATCCTTTAATTTTTAATGATTCACATCAGAACTAGCACTAATTAGTAGAGACAATGAGTCATCTGCTTCTATACTTACACAAAAACACACCCTCCTTCACACAAAAACACAACAGGATACATTTTTAAAATTACAGCTTTATGGGGCGGGCCCTGTGGCTTAGCGTTTAAGTGCACACGCTCCGCTACTGGCGGCCCGGGTTCGGATCCCGGGCGCGCACCGACGCACCACTTCTTCGGCCATGCTGAGGCCACGGCCCACATACAGCAACTAGAAGGATGTGCAACTATGACGCACAACTATCTACTGGGGCTTTGGGGAAAAAAAAAAAGGAGGAGGATTGGCAATGGATGTTAGCTCAGAGCCGGTCTTCCTCAGCAAAAAGAGGAGGATTAGAATGGATGTTAGCTCAGGGCTGATCTTCCTCACACACACACAAAAATAATAAATAAAATAAAATAAAATTACAGCTTCTACTGATATGTTTTAATAAAATAAAGTTAAGGCAGCTAAACAAATGTTTTCTTCCAATTTCATTTCTGCCTTTTTGAATTCTAGGAAAGGACAAGGAGGTACGCCATCCTAAAAAGCATTTATTTTCAGAAATGAAATTGGAAAACATTTCAGATGAGTAGTTATAAAGGTTTATCTTAATTTTCTCAACTCAAAATTCAGTGTTTCGATGTAAAGTTTTATTGATGTTTCGTAATACAGGATTGGATCATATAAGACTTTTCAGGTTTTGCTTTGACAGCCAGAAGGAGTTCTGATAACTGCATATTATTCTTCCAACAGTTTTAATACACCGGATATAAACCTTTACCTCCCTTTCTAATACTCTCCAAGTCACATGAATAAATAATCAGCATTAAGATCTTGGGTAATTTCCCAAGAGGGCTATTGCTGAGGCAGAAACCAACTTCATCTTCTTTGATGTCTATTAAAAGTCATAAATGGAAATCCCAGGTCAGTCTTTGACAAATGCTATTACTCCTATTGGCTTTCAACACGGTTAAACAATCTAAACTTGAGCCAAATGTGAGAGTCCAGAGAAATCTGATGCTTTCTCAGATTACAAAAGAAAATTGGCGTTATATTTAAGTTCTCACATGAATTTTCTAAGGAAAAATTTATGTCCAGCATCTGAACCAGCAAGAAAAGTAGGCTTTACCAACAGTTCAGTGCCCATGTCTTATTCATCTTTGCTCCCCCACGTCCAGAGCAGGGCCTAGCACACAGCAGGCGCTTGGCAAACATCAGCTGACCTAAATGCTGGACTGAACTGTGTTCAAGGACTAACCTTCAAAAGCATTTCTTCATGCTGGGGATTATCGGAATCATAGGGTTCTCTGCGCAGTTTTTCCACATCTGCAATAAGGTTTCTGTACCCAACGATTTGCAGAAGGCAAGCCTGAAGAGAGATTCCCAGCCTGAGGTGTTCAAAAAGAGAAGAAATATGTGAGGAAAAACAGAACGTATACTTTGGCATTTGTTGCCTTGATGTATGCACAATAGGACTTTTCATTTTGTATAATATTTAGGAAACTGCTCAAATTGAATCTATCTAATAGAAGCACAATTTCTCACTGACGTGCCACATGGACAGTTGCGGAACTTGGTTCAAGTTTACCTCTCAGTCTGGCCTTCTCTTAAGTCAAGTTGCAACAGTATGGCTTAAAAAACAAGGGAGCTCTTTATGCAGGTGACTTGAAAGAAAGATGTAGAAGATATAGGTGATAATGGGTTCTTAGGGATCATTTAGTCCCCCTAGGTGGGTATATTAGAAATAGAGGAGTGTGGTGGGGGCGGGGGCTGTGAGAGAGGGAGAAAGAAAGAGAGGGAGAGAGAGAGAAATAGCCCTCAGGGGCTTAGGCGTATGAAAAAATTTCAAAACAAAACAATAACAACAACAAAAACATCTCTGCTTGGGAGCATCCCTGACAGATGAGGCAACGCCAGGAGAAAGAACTCACTACCTTACAAAATTTCCCGTTTCATTCCAATTGCTCTAGTTGTCTGAACACTTTTCCTTAGGTTGAAACAAAATCTGCTTTCCTTATGATCATGTGGTTCAAATTCTGTTCTCTGAGCAAATTTATTTCCACCTCTCCCCTAACATGCCTATTTGTTTTAAGATAGCAATTCTTTCTTCTAGTCTCATCTCCAGGGTTAAAAAAAAAAAAAAAAAAAATCTCCTATTCCTTCAATTCCCTCTCATGGGACATGGTTTTCAGATGTTTTACTATCTTGCTTAGTCTTCTCTGAATGTACACTGTTTGATTAACAGCCCCCTTAAAATCTATCACCAGAACAGAGAACAATCTGGCAAGCATGACACACAGAGGATCATTACTTCCTGTGATCTGAATGCTGTTTTTCTCTCCTGCAATGTAGAAGGTAAAATAGGTTCTCTTTAAGCAGTCATTACAGCTTTATTAAAAAGATGGCTAAATAATCACCAAAATCCTTTTTCATATAAACTACTGTCATGTAAATTATTCTCCTCTACTTGTGTGATGGCATTTGAAATCTAAAGGCAGTATTTCATGTTTATTTATTCCTGCTAAGTTCTTTACAGTCATTCACTCTGGTGGTTCAAGAATGGTTGCACATTGGCAATTTCACATGATTCAACCCAAGAGTTACTGTCCAACATACTCCTACTCCTAATTCACTCACTAAATTTGACCATTTTTGTTGTGGTGGTGGTCACTATAATCACAATGATGTCATCATCATCTTCTTTTTTGGGGGTGAATGAGCAGTATGGAGGTGAAATCTAAAGTTAGGGGCAATAGAGAATTACAAGTCTTAGGATTGTATACTTACTCCAAACGTAGAGGGCAGTGTCAGATAACCCAGAATACTAAACTTAATAAAACTTCAATAAATGGCCCTTATAATTACTTGTTACTATAGCATCAAAAAACTAAAGCGGATATTTACATTTAGGAAAAGGGCACAGTGGTACTGGTCACTGAGAAAATCAACGCAGCACTGAGAAAAGAGTTAATTTTGAGGAAAAGAAGAGAATGGGTGAAATAGAAGTGAACAAGGGAAGCCAGTTCAATTTTATCGTAGTAATTCATACCACCATCCTAAGCAGCACTTGAAAAAAATGTAATTAAAATAAAGTGAGGTTTATTTTAAAAATAATTGATAAATTGTAAAATATTTGCCCCAGCCTGCCCTGCTATTTCTTTATTTTTTCAGAAAATTATTTAACTTTTAAAAATCACATTCTGTCAATATTAATCTGGAAAAAAGCACTATAATCCATATTGAGATGTAAAAACACAATCTACTACCTATAAGGATTTTTTTCCCCTAAAGGAAATCAAAAAATAGATGGAAAGGAAATGCTTTTGGATGAGACATATAACTTTCATAGAAGAGACACAGAAAGGATTTGCTATTAAATCTAATATAATCTCTAAATATGATTACAGGCCTAATATATTTCTCATGCCCAATTATAATCTTAAATTTTTGGTTCGACATAATTTAAAATGTATTGTCTTCTTATCACCTTCCCAGAGGAGTAAAATATACGTCAGAAGGTTTCAAAAAGACATTTACTGCATAATTAAATCAACCTTTAAGGGCTGAATAAGAAAGAGGCAGCTAATTAGCTGAAGTGGCTGCAAAAGAATGCCATGGCAACCACGTGGAAATGGAGTTTTGTGATAAGCCCCAATTAGTTAGTCCCTAGAATCCCTCCAAGAGACAGACCTATACAAAGTGCACTCTGAAATTCCCTTCACCTATGGCTCCTAGTCTTTGGCAATTAAAAGCCTTTCTCAGCGATAACATTTGAAGTTCTCGAGTATGCACATCCAAAAGACAGTTTGATTGCTACCTACCTAAACCGTCTCTAAATATATCCACATGCAGAATTTATTCTATCCAACATCCTTAGCCCAAAATTTTACTGAAAAATTCCTGTACTCAATGGAAAATATAAAGCTAATTTTAAATGACAGGCACGTTGCCAAATGCATTTTAATACTTCCAAGATGAGATAACTAAATTACAAAGTTCTAAAGTCTTCATATAAAAACCATCTCTCCCTCCCACACATGCCTGTCTTCTTGACAAGCAGGTAGGAACTGTCTCCAAGATTATCAGCCTGTCATGAACTGAAGGAATATTCTTGATGGAGCAGAATCAGCTCAAGCACATTTACAATTTGAACATTTACTGTTAATGTAAAACATAGGCATCACATAGAGCGATTGTTGATGAATGGGTTCCCTTTATTTCATCTTCTGATATCAGGGGCATCCATCAAATGTCTCACATTCATTGCATCTCAGAAGCATATGCATAAATCACAGCAGAAGTACAAAGTTGCTGCCCTTTACAAACATGAAAAAGGCATCTTTTCTCTTTATTCTTCAACTGAAAATCAAAATAAGGCAGATGATTGTTTTAGGGGGAGGGGGGGAGATGGAGAGAGGGAAAGAGAATGAAAGAGAGATCGATCGAGAGCACACTCAAATGAGTGCTACAGAACCACTTAAATATGTGGCCATGTGACTTGTGTTCTATATTTTCAACAAAATAAACAAATTCTTACTGTGGATTTACGTCGGGGTTAATTTTTTTCAGTTCCATGATGTCGTCTATAGTTTTTTCAATAGCATCAGGGTGAACGCTCACTGAAGTCTGCAACAGCTGGAAAACATTTTTCAGTCAGTTCCTTTGTCATGAACACCAGTGGCTTAAGCAGGGTCTATTTAGACTGGGGCTTCAAGTATTTGGTTAAAGCTTCTATATGAAGCTACTAAACTAAAGTAAAAGCAAAAATTGATTTAGTTTTTGAATTCTAGTAAATTTGACATTTTTACAACGGGGTTAGTGCAATTTTCCTGATTAAGGTAATTAACATAAAACAGAAATCCATATGATGTTTTTAACCACTTCCATCTGTTTCAAGCTACTTATATTGAAATATTTTCCTTTTTGCACCCAATATGGTTTCCATTGTTAATGGGCAACACGTTTATGACTGAAGAGTGAAGTACTTAGGGGATATAGTCTTAAGGATGCTAAAATAAAATAATAATATAGAATTATGAAGACTCTTGAAAAAGAAAACAGATTTTGTTTCTTTTTTTTTTTTTATGAGGAAGATCAGCCCTGAGCTAACATCTGATGCCAATCCTCCTCTTTTTTGCTGAGGAAGATTGGCCCTGCGCAAACATCCATGCCCATCTTCGTGCCTGGGATCTGAACCGGGGAACCTGGGGCCTCAGAAGCGGAGCAGGCGCACTTAATGGCTGTGCCACCGGGCCGGCCCCCAGGTTTTCTTTCTTATGTGGATGCTTAACTATGTGCTATAAAAGCTAGCATTGTGGCTTCTTTAGTTTTCTTGGAAAATCTTTTTTTTTCTTTTCTTTTTTTTCCAGATACATTAGACAAACGGTATCTCTCTTCATGATTCAATCTGCTGAACTAAGCAACCATCATAGTATGGAAAATCTTGAATATAAAGTTAAATGATTTGGATATTGAAGGAAGAACCAGAGAGTTAACAATGTTCTTATTTTCAAGGAATATTTATTTTATGATTTGGGAAGAGGTATAAAAAAACATTAATTCAACAACGAAGTAATAAGTGGTTCATAAATCTGCCTAGAAATTCATGTACAGTGGCTGCTGTCATGTCAAAAGTATAGTGGTTTGTGATGGGCAAACACTTCTTTCTTCTCAGTTTGCACAGCCAGTGGTATATTTCTTAAAATTTTTACTTTTGATGATGGGGGCAAGCCTCCAAGTGAAAAGTTGCTGAAAAATATAGAAATGACTTTACTTACCTTACTTTTTGAATCCCTCAGTGATGTTTCTGTAAAAGAGATAATTAAAAAAGTCATTCAAAAATTATCCTTTACGAGTGGTTTAAAATTACTGTAGTGAAATATAACACTGTATCCTTAATCCCAGCAAGCCTACATTTTGCTGACTTCTTTGTTTCGTGCTTACCAATTTTCATGGTTCTAGAAGCTCCAGGCTTGGTACTGTAACAGATCCGTTGCAGTTCACATCTTCCAGTCAGCTTCCTCATTACAAATTTCAGGCAGCGCCACAAAAATTTGCAGTAAAAATACAGGCACACTTGGATCAACATTCTGTCAAAAACAAAAGACAGCACCCTCCCAATAGAACTCTGGAAGGGAATAGAAAGCAGCCACCACCAGCAAGAAAAGAAGCCCACAAGAAAAGCGACCATTAGACTCCTGGGTTTACAAGCATATTTCATTTTTCTAATCCCATGTTACTTTATTTGAGGTAGCTGCAAAACCCATCATTGAGAGGGAAGCCCAAGGTCTGTGAGGACACAGTTACTATGACTGCAAGCAACTCCAGAATACCCTAGTAAATTTGATATTCCAACAAACTGAGGGTAAAGCATGGGAATCCTTTGTTTTCCTACCTTCACCTAAAAACATTTTGAAAATAAATCAGCATCTTGAAAAGAGAATCCTTGTATTTTAGAAGTTGTCTCTCCCTTAGACATGGGGAAAGAACGTGCTATGGCAACTCTTGTCTTCTGCCTCTGTGGACAGCCTCTCAGCTCACCCTGGTTCATTTCCAGCCCCTCCTTAGCACCTTTCCTTGGGCCACTAGTTTATTTCTTCCCTTGCTCCCATTCTTTCCTCCTTCCCTCTGCTTTCTTTTAGGCACTGTTATCCTCCTGGAGGACTTGGTTGTGTGGCCACCTGTCTTCTCTGCTGACCAATTTCAACACTTCTTGGATTTGCTAGAGGCCTCCTCCTCAGTTCACTGAACAAGCATGCTGACCTTTGGTTCTCCAACATTCTCTGATTTAAACCTTCCCCAAACTCTACCTCTTGACAAGTTTGTTCTTGGCTCTTGGAAATAAAGTTTTCTTTATTGCACACCCTATCTCGCTCCAATAATACCTCAACAAGCTATGAAGTATATTGTCATCAATCATGCACTTATTCACGTCTCTGGCACATGAGAATTTGTGTTTTATGCTAACTTTTAATTTTTAATATGTGAGTGTCTACCACTTCACGGTACTGTTCAGAGTCTCAAAATGACTCGAGCTATAAAGGTAAAGAGGACTTATCATCCAGGAACTTATATTCAACCCATCTTCTCTTGATACTCTGCATTCCAAGGAGGCAGAATTATTTATATTACTTCCTATTAATGTCATTTCTAAAAGATGTTTCTTTTTCTCCATTGTCCACTAGTTCCCTCCAGTGCCAACATAAGGTGATCCAGGGCCATTCAGATGAATGAGAGTAGTCATCTAATAGCCTCAGTGACGCGATCCATCCCTGAATATGAACCAACACCTCAATTGTGTTCCTTTGCTCAAATTGCTCTGGCTCCAATATCCTGAACAGCTTGTGTTAAAAATAAAAATTCCAACAAGCTAACTTGCACAATGGCATGGGGTCTATATCATATAAATGCAAAGGGAGTGGAGGAAACAGTATGAGCAACCAAACTGCTATGCTAAGATAACACAATGGAATCCTTTGTAGGCAGTAAAATTATGTTCTAGAATATCTAATAACATGAGAAAATGTCCAAAATATTCTTATCAAATAGAAAAAAGTTAGAAGGAAATGGGTATGGAATGATCAACATTTTCTTTAAAAAATAAAATGAAAAAATGTAATGGTGATATATGAACAAGGAGAAAAATACTGGCAGGATACATCACAAAAATGTTAACAGTGGTATTTTTGGGTAATGGAATTATGAGTAATTTTTATTTTCTTTTTTGGTTGAGTATATTTTCATTTTTTTCTATAATAAGTATATATTACTTTATTAAAGAAAAGTTTTAACAATTAAAATGCATAAAATGATCACCAAAAGCCATTACAAAAGCGCATACAAAATTTCTATGTGAAGTCAGATTCTGCTGAAAGACAAAAAATGGATTTACTATGTTGTAAAGTCTGAAATTCAACTGTTTTAGTCAAATATGTTCTAAGATCTATTAGGAGTTAGGTTACCAGTTTTCAAAAAAAAAACGTGACCCTAAAAATAAAATTAGTGGAATATTTTAATTACTTGAGAGAGAAATTTTATAAAACCTCAACTTGCTCTCTTGGAAAATGGTTTCCATTTTTCCAATTATTGGATAGCTATGCCCCCAAAAAGATTGAGCAATATCTTTGTTGACTGCCCAAATCGTAATGATATTAATTACTGGTTGGCATTGTTCCTATTACTAAGTCAAGGATAAAGGCTTTCCATGATATGTGTCCTTATGGTGCCCATGTGCAATTTCCAGTAAAGTTTGCCTAGCATGTGGGCCAGCTCCTCAAATGAAGCCTCTTTTAAGTCTGTGCCTCAGGACTCCATGATAATCAGGTTCTTGTGGTACTAAATCTTCCTAGAGAAAAGGGTTCCCATTATTGTTTAAAGAGTATCTTTGTATTCACCTTACTTAGGGTACAAGCCACCAAAACATATTATAGCTGAAATCAAACCACAGAAATTTTCCCCATGCAACTTCTCCAGCAGATCTATACAAAGATGTGGCTAGGTACTATATTTTTTTAAGCCAGATCATCAGATCAAACAATGTTCTGACAGACAATTTATTTTGTGTTTAGATCATAAACCTAAGGCATGGTCAGATATGGAAACACCAGTGCTACCTCTTACTTTGGAAGCCTTATTCTGATGACAGAAATAATACCCAACTTGCTTCCTCATGAAAGGACCAGATCAGCAAAACCTCCATTTGAGCATCTCAGGATGGCTGTTCTTCACCATCAAGTGCTGCCAGAAGCTCACTTCTTAAATTTTTGGACCCTTTTAGGTCTCCAAATTGTAAAGGTTATGGAAAAACTGCTGAAGGTCCAGAGGAGAACAATAAACATGACTAAATATTTTGGGAGAATGTTAAATTGGTTTGGCATGTTTACCCTGAAAAGGAAGAAATTAAGGAATGGATCTTTAGAAGCTCTTAAGCTAATCAGTGGTTGGTTTAGGAAAAAAGAAAGACAGGAAGGAAGGAAGGAAGGAAGGGAGGGAGGGAGGGAGGGAGGGAGGGAGGAAGGAAGGAAGGAAGGAAGAAAGGGTGGGAGGGCGAGCGGGAGGAAGGGAGGGAGGAAGGAAAGTTCTGCCTGTTTCTTACCTGAGTTTAAGGACTTTTGGATCATATACCTTTCCTCCTTTTAATTTCCTTTATCTCCTTATGTTTCTGATGGCATGCCTTGAGTGGAGGCATCTCAAATGTACCCGTGAGGCAGATCCCATTTGCTTTACTTTAATCCCATCCTTCTGTTCCTACTCTTAGAATAAGAATTATAGCCACACCCTCTCCACCATCTGAACCCTATGTTCACGGGGTTTATAGCTCTGCTTGTTTTTTTCTCCTGGCCTGAATCATCAAACCAATAAGCTTAGTTTTAATGCAGGGAATATTTTGCTTTTTTTTCTTCAGAACACTAGACAGTTTTCTTAGTTCTGATGGAAGATTCTCAACTCACTACTGAAAAGATCTGCTACATTTTGTAGGAACAACAATCAAATTCTCAAGACTACAAGGAGAAAATACTGATCACCATCTCCTATTTTTAATAACTACATGCATAGACAGCAGTTTTTGTGTTTGTTTCTGGTTTTTTAATCACAGCTTTTTGATAGTGTTCCAAAAGGAGTTACTGTAGCTTCCTAGGATGAATGCCTTGCTGAAGCACTGGGAGAATCTGATTCAATAATGAGAGCTACTTACACATGTTCTATAGCCAATACTTCGTGTTACTGCCATTTATTAACATGCTGCACAGTGAAGTTTATGGCTGAGTTCACAGCAGTGTTCTTCCATAAGGCAATTATGATCACTTTCATTATTTAACATTCATTCTCTAGCTTGAATCAGAATAGCCACTCAATGTAAATTATTCAAAATGGATCATATCTCTGCTACCAAATAAAAGCGAGCTCCTGTCTTATGGTGCTGTGTTAGAGGAATCTATTCAGCATGGATGGAGCCTCTGAAACAGGAGATGCACCTAGAACCAGGTAGCCTCTTGCCTGTGGGGTGAGGGGGTGTGGGTACCTGTGGTGCCACACTACTCCATCATCTTAAATTTGTGACTCTGACGTCTTCTTTTGGAATAATAAGAGAAAAGTGGCTTATTTTGAACAGTCTCAATGAATTTGCTAATGAAAGTTACTTCTTGCTTGAAGAAATCCTGTAATAAATAAGAAGTACACTATTGGTGAGGAAAGATACATACAAAATAATCACAGTTCTTGGTTCAAACCACAGTTTGCTAAACGAAACACTTTTCATCTAAATGGCCATACAGAACAGCAAACTGCTCAATATTTCCAGTCTTTCATGCACTTTCTAAAATGACATTTTAAAAAATTTTATTTGCTCTATTGAAGTTCCTAATTAAGGGCACTGGCCATCAATTGGAAATTAACTTGTCAACAGGTATCCGGTCTAGTAAATGAGACCCTTCTATAACGAGGTTCCTACTAGGAAGAGAGACTGCAAAGGACTTGATATATGAACTGGAAATGTGAAATCATACAAAGAAACCATTTGTGGGCCTATAGAAAAACAAGAGTATTTTCCCTCCTTTGAGCAGCGGTGAGGCAGTGTTCAGTGCCCAGGCAATGTGGGGCCCCATGGTCTTTTCCATCATTCTTTATCTGAAGAAATCACACTTTTTTTGAAAAGTGGTGGGTATAAATCTAGCATAGATTGATATTATTCCAAATTCTATCGCTATAGCAAAGGTCACTGTTTTTACATTCCAGGGAAATTTCATCTGAGGGCTTAGACAGCAATAGTTGACTGTGGGATAACTAAAATAATAAATAAATTAATGGTTTATCCTTTTCCTTTCTAAGAAAAGGAGGCACAGGTTTATCTTAATTTATTAATAACATCACTATTCAGTTCAAAATTTTATGCTTAAATACATACATTTTACAAGGTTTATTTTTAAAGATCTTTTTTGCTATTTGGATAATAATTTTATTGACTTATAAGGGAAACGGCAAACACATTATACTTTGACATTTAAAAAGTACTTAAATGTAATCTCAAATATAAACTTTTATTGTAAATAAAAATATTTTTAAAAGAACCAAAATTAAATAAATCTATAAA